AACTACTCCTTCCCCTACAAGGACTACTGATGCTAGCACTAATTCTACTGTTTCTAATACAACTTCTCCTTCCTCTATAAGTACTACTGGTGATCATAGTACTAGTACTGATGTGTTGGATCCAACTACTCCTTCCCTGATAAATACTACTGATGCTAGCACTAATGCTGCTATTTCAGATACAACCACTCCATTCCTGACAAGCACTACTGATGCTCATAGCACTGGTACTGCTGTTTTGCATACAACTACTCCATCCCTTAAAAGTACTACTGATGCTAGCACTAATACTACTGTTTCTAATACAACCACTTCTTAACCCATAAGTACTGATGATGTTAGCACTAGTACTACTCTTTCTAATACTATGCCTTCCCCCACAAGTACTACTGAGGCTAGCACCAATACTACTATTTCCAATACCACTCCTTCCCAGTAAATACTACTTATGCTGGCATTAGTACTACTACTGTCATTACATCTACTCCTTTTTCTACACTTACTGCTGATACTAATATTGATACTGCTGTTCCTATTATAATCACTTCTTCCCTGGAAAGCACTACTGATGCAAGCACTAATATTACTATTCTTATTACAACTACTCCTTATCCCACAAGTAGTACTGATGCTAGCATAAATACTACCGACATTAGCGCTGATACTACTGTTTCTCATGCAACTACTCCTTCTCCCTCAAGTACTACTGAGGCTAGCACTAATTCTACTGTTTCTAATACAAATACTCCTTCCCTTACAAGTACTACTGATGTTAACACTAATACTACACTTTCTATTAAAACTATTATTTCCCCTACAAGTAATACTGATGCTAGCACTAGTACTAGTGTTCTTATTAAAGCTACTCCCTCTCGTACAAGTACTGATGCTGCTGACACTAATAATAATGTTCCTATTACAGCCACATCTTCTGCTACAATTATTGGTGCTGATACTACTAGCAATAATTTCGCTATTATGACTACTTCTTACTCTACAATATTAATGCTGTGAACACTACTGTTGCTATGATGACTACTTCTCCTACAAGTACTGATGTTGCTATCACTAGTAATAATGTTTCCATTACAAACTCTCTTTTCTCTACATTTTCTGATGGTACTAGCATTAGTAATATTATTCCTATAGTGACTACTCTTTCTCCTACAAATACTCACACTGCTAGTACTAATAATACTCTTTCTGTTACGACTAATCCTTTTCCTATAAGTACAAGTGTTACTAGCACTAGTAATATTGTCCTTATTATGACTACTCTTTCTTCTTCAAGTACTGATGCTGTTAGTACAAGTATCACTATTCCATTAATGACTACTTCTTCCACTCCTTCCTCCACTCCTACCCCTATTCCTATGTCTACTCTTAACTCTGCTACTTCTATTTTGAGCCCCTTTCCAACAAGTAATACACTTACTACTGATATAATTACTAATTTTACTATGCCTACTAAAGCAAACACCACTCATTTTAATACTCTGGATACACAAAGTACTGTGGTAATAGATGCTACAGCTGCTGCTACCAGCACCACAAAAAGTACTACAAGCCCAGTTACAATACTTACTTCCACAGACAGACAAATTTACTGCATATACCAAACCTGCTGCAACAGATTGTATAAGCTCACCTTTTCCTGAAGGAACAACTGCCACCTCCCTTAGCACCACATGTACTACAAGCACTAGCTATGCATTAGTTTCCACAAATCTGGACAATGGAACCTCTTCCACCATAACGAACTCAATAAGTAGCCCCACTACAAACAGGATAATTACTGGTACACTTCGCTCCATAGATACTACCTTTGCTACAGTAGCTGCCACAGACATACCATTCTCTACTACTCAAAGCTCTCTTTCTTTTCCCACAGCAGGCCTTATAAATACTCTGACCACAAATGTCAGAACTGCCACCATGGACCCTACATTGGGCAGACAGTAAATATTACTGATGCAGATGGCTCCAGCAGGGTTACAGGTAACACCACAAACATTTCTAATCCAAATACCACAACAGTCTAAGACATGTGAACTCCCTTTACTCTACATACAGCAACTCACCTTCCAGTAACAACAAATTCTTCTACCAGTCATTTACCGATGATTGCAACTAGTGCTACTGCAGGTATCACAAATATCACCACATATGCTGACAGAACCTTGGATGCTTCTGCTACTCCTTTAATTATACTTCAAACTCCATAAATGCCAATCGAGTTCCTTGATCATTGCTACTCAAGACAGTATAATTACTACAGACTTTACCTCTTTAAAACAACTATTGGAGGTATAGAAAATCAATGAACAGATACATTATCTTATTCTTTCACATAAGCTTCCACAAATATTAGCACTCTAGCCATAACACATACAGCTACTCCAAGCATTGTCGACATTGCACTTATGTCTAAAGAGGCATCCATTACAAGCTTTAGAAGGCTCACTTAAGAAGCTGTGGGCACATCATTCACAGCTAAAATATGTACTACTGTTCTTTTTATTTTATAGTTACTACTTCTATTAACCCATCAATTAATAAACTACAGATATTTTATATAGCCCTGCTGCAGACTTCACAGATGGTGTTGGTATCTCAGATAACACCACGTTAGGCTTTGCAAGTACTATTGCTTTAGATGTAGTGATTGAAATAGCCCAACTTATTTCTTGGGTTACAAGACATAATACCATTATTGAGAGCACTGGTAATACTTCTAACTCTCAAATGGCCACTATAACCATGATTATTAGTGTCACAATAGATTACTTAACTAGTAATGATTTAAAAAAATGCACTTTATTTTTCTATGGACTTTTCCCAATTCCATGGCTACCAATACAGTAATTTGCTATTCCATATACTGAAAGTATTATTGCTTCTAAAGAGATCCTAAATGTAGCCATCAATATGGAAAATGGTACTACTGTAGATCTTGTGTACACCTTGACTCCAGGCACTAGAATTATTAAATTAGGAATATTGCATGTTACTTTTACTAGCATAGAAAATAAAAATATGATTACATATTTTAAAAACATAACTTCCCAAACTTTGCAGCCATGACTTCAATAGGTATTACAGATAGTCTTACTCCACATTTGATAAGTACTTCTATTCATAGACACGTAAAGTACTTGCAGGAAGTTAGCACTAATCTTAGTTTTCAGATAGTCTTAGATCCCTAATGTTACCGCCAATGATTGGGAGCATTTACAAGGTCTCCCGTAGCCCGGGGCCACTCGAACAGAGATGACAGTGCAATGATAACTATATGGCATGGGGGGGAGACAGTCTCTGCCCCAGGATCAGAGCTGGAGTCTAATTTTTATTTTACCCACTATCTTTTCTCCTATTATTCTACTGTCCAGCTTCCAGCTTATTCTTGTCTTTCTCATCCTAATTCACCATTCACCTTTGATTCTTTCTTAGCTCCTCCAAAAAAACCAAAACCAAACCCATTGCTGTCAAGCTGATTTTGACTCATAGTGACCCTACAGGACAGTGTAGAACTGTCCCATAGGGTTTCCAAGGCTGTAAATCTGTATGGAAGCAGATTGCCACGTCTTTCTCCCTCAGAGCGGCTGGTGGGTTCGAACCACTGACCTGTCGGGTAGCAGCTGAGTGCTTAACCACTGCACCACCAGGGCTCCTTAGCTCTTCCAGACCCCATGAATAGACTCCTGGCCACAACCGAGTCCAGCCAGTTGGGTGATATTGAAGGTTTCCTTCTAGGACAGTATTTCTCAAAGCACAGTTCAGGTACCCCTGGGGGCCCCGAGGCTCTTTCTGGGGTCCACAAGGTCAAATCTATTTTCATAATGATTATTGCTGTTGGTAGTTGCCATGGAGTCTGCTCTGACTCATGGCGACCTTACGTATAACAGAACGAAACATTGCCTGGTCCTGCGCCACCCTCACAGTCTTTGGTACGTTTGAGCCCATTGTTGCAGCCACCATGTTGCTTCATCTCATGGAGAGTTTCCCTCTGTTTCACTTCATAATGATAATAGGTTGATATTTTATGATTTGCCTTTGTCACTCTCATCTCTCACGAGTAGACACTGGCATTTCCCAGAGATGCCATGGTGTGTGTTGCCACAATAGATGAATATAGAGACAGATACAAGAATCTGTCTTCCAGTAAGTCAGACATAAACAGATTTACAAGAATGTAAAATAATGCCACTATGCCATTCTTCTCACTGATTTTTTTTTTTGCTTTGGAAAACAGTTATTTTTCATAAAAATATATTATTTATGTTAACATGTAGTGGTTTATTGTTATTTTTCATGAATAAGTATTTTACAAATGATTCCATTTTAATTTCTGATACAGTAAATATTAATAGGTATAACCCACATAAACAAAGCACTTCAGGGTCCTCAATAATTTTTAAGAGTATCAAGGGGTCTTGACACCAAAGAGTTAGAACCACTTCCTTTAAAAAAAAAAAAAAAAAATCTGTTGCTGTTGAGTCGATCCTAATTCATATACAGCCCATGTATTACAGAGTAGAACTGAGATCCACAGAGTTTTCTTGGCTGTAATCTTTACAGAAGCAGACCACCAGGCCTTTTTTCCATGGTGCCAGTAGGTAGGTTTAAACTGCCAATCTTTCAATTAGTAGCCGAGACCAACCGTTGGTGCAACAGGGCAACAATACCCTAGTTCTATGTTCCTGCCCTGATCAAATATACCATGAACTTATTGGAACGCTGGCATCTGTTAAGGTGCCTTTTCCACATGGGTATCTACCACCTGCCAGCTACACATCTGCCAGCCTCTGACTTGCCACCTTTGATGGTCATCCACAGGACACACAGAATCATGAGCTGGTTGCATCTGCCTTTTGGAATGTGCCCACAGGTCAATCTGAGCAAAGTTAATAGACCTTATGCCAGAGTATATATGACTCTTCAATTGACCTTCTGACACCAAGAAATAAAACTCATAATCCTAAACTGTACCAATGGACTTGGTCATAGATGCCTTCACTTGTGTCTTCATGGAGGGAGCCCCAGGGGACTTGGCTTGAGGGCACCCCATGCTCTGAGACAAGACCAAGTGTTCTGTGACCTAATGCCTGTGGGACCCCATACCAGGGCAGATGAGGTGACCAACTGCTCCACTTGAAGCACTTGGAATTTGGAAAACTGAGGATGCATTTGCTCAAACCACCATATTTCCGTTCTTACTGAAATTCAACCCCTTTGTGCATAGAAATGGACCACAATTGAAGGTATGGAATTGTGAAAAGGTAGGGAAGGAGTACTGTTTTAAACACAGCGGACTTAGGTTTGACATTTTAAGAAACTTGAGAGTTTCAACTTGAATTGATGCAGAAAGCATGGTCCAGAACCAAGTCCAGAGAATTTGGAGGCAACGTCAGCGTGCTTATGCTACCACCTGGGGCATTTTGTGAAAGCTGTATGTGGACTCTGGTTTATAGGGTCCAGGGAAGTCCATGCCAGCACCAAGGAAAATGGCAGGCTAGCTCGTTATTTGTAAGCAGGGTAAAATCTCAGACCCTTCACAGTATTGATAAGACCAAATTTGGGGGACAGGGAACTTGGAGATGAGAATAGGAACTAGAGAGTTCCCTTTTGGCTGCATTAAGTTTAATATGACTTTCAGACATTGTCTTAGTTATCTAGTCCTGCTGTAACAGAAATACCACAAGTGGATGGCTTTAACAAAGAGAAATTTATTTTCTCACAGTCTAGTAGGCTAGAAGTCCAAATTCAGGGCATCAGCTCCAGTGGAAGGCTTTCTCTCTCTGTTGGCTCTGGAGGAAGGTCCTTCTCATCAATCTTCCCCTGGACTAGGAGCTTCTCTGTGCAGGAACCCCAGGTCCAAAGGACATACTCTGCTCCCGGTGCTGCTTTCTTGGTGGTATGCGGTCTCTCTGCTCGCTTCTCTCTTTTATATCCCAAAAGAAATTGGCTCAAGACACAATCCAGTCTTGTAGACTGAGTCCTGCCTCATTAACATAACTGCCACCTACCCTTCCTCATTAACATCATAGAGGTAGGATTTACAACACATAAGAAAATCACATCAATCACGAAATGGGAGGACAACCACACAATAGTGGGAATCCAGGCTTAGCCAAATTGATACACATATTTTTGGTGGACGCAATTCAATCCACAACAGACATCTAAGAGGAGACAGACATCAGACAGAGAGTTGGATGCATAAATGTGGAGGCGTTGGGTCGGGTTCTGGCTAGAGATAAATTTGAAGTCATTGACATAGAGATAGTATTTGAGCCATGGGGCTGGATTATATTAGTTTGGGAGAAGATATACACATAACTACACACACACACAGGGAGAATGAGGCTAGGGCCCTGAGGCACCCCAACATTTGAAATCTAAGAGAGGAATGAAGGAGCCTAGGTGGTGCAAGTGGTTTGCACTGGACTGCTAACCTAAAGATTGATGGTTTAAACCCATCCAGTGGCTCTGTGAAAGAAAGGTCTGGCAATCTGCTTCCCTAATGATTATAGCCAAGAAAACCCTACAGAGCAGTTCTACTCTGTAACACATGGGGTCTCCATGAGTCTGAGCCAACATGATGGCAGCTAACAACGACAACAAGGAAAGGAGAAGAGAGCAGAAAAGGAGACAGAGAAAGAGTGGCCAGCAGTGAGGTAGAAGGAGAACTGGGTGAGTGTGGGGAGTGCAGTGTACCAGGAGGTGAGAACCAGGATCCTCCTTCACCCAGTCCTCCTGACTGCTCAGTGCCTGTGCTACAGCTGCAATACCTGATGTGGCATGTGACCCCTGCCCTGGTGGAGGAAGTGGACTGTCAAGAGCAACTAAACCTCTAGTTCAGTGAGTCTCCATCTTCAATGTGCATTGGAAACACCTGGAGCATTTAATGATTTACAGATGCCTGGGCTCTACCCCATCAGAATGCTAATCTCCCACCAAGTAGGCTGAATATGTAGCACAGGTTGAGGGCCCCTGGGTTTGCAGCATTGGGGAGCTCTTCTGCTCTATCTCAGCTCACTTAGGAGGAGCAGCATTTAGACAGTGATGAGACCCCTACCAAGCAGCGAGAGGAAACTGGGTTACCAGCATGATGAAAGGTGGGGAGAAAGCAATGACCAGTGCTTTCTGTTGCAGCTGGGGAGAGGATTTTCCATCTGTGCAAGAGAGGAGCTGTCAAATGAAAAGATGCACAGACTCCGGAAGGTTTGTGTGTGCCCTGGGATCGCCCCAGCTGGGCCTAGCTCCCCTTTTGCCACCACAGGCTACACATGCCATTAGCTGCAGTTGAGATGGTGAATCCAGTGGTCTTGTGAGCCAAGCTCACTGAATGCTATCTAAGAAGAGAGGAAGTGGGCTCACCATGTCCTCTCACTTCCCTCACCGCCCCCCACGCCCCACATGCTTTTCTCCTTCTTCTCCTGCTCTTTCATTTTGTTCTGATTTATTTTAACCAGTTGAGGCCCTCCTCCTCTATCTACTCTTTCCCCCAAACTGACTTTAACAACAAGACTGGTGCTGAGATAACCTGGGTGAGAGCCTGCACCGATTACCTGGAGTGATGTCTTTGGGGTTGCTGGGGGAGCAGGTGGATTCAAAGTAGAATGTAGTCTGACCTGCCCAAAGTCCTGGGTGCTTGTAGGATGTAGCACCTGCAGTGCTGCCGGTAGTATTTGCATGATGCCCTACTGAGCTGTGAGGACAGAGAACTGGGAAGAGATGGCACTGGGAGGAGTGTTTGGCTGTATGCTCTGGCTCCTAAACTGTCCTTTCCAGATGATCCCTCTTCCTTCCACCTTAATCCTAGGTCGAGGGGAGCATGACACGGCCTCTTAGTTCCTTTGTCTCTGACTCGCTGCGTCCCTTCATCTTCATCTCACCCCCATTTATCAGAGACTCTACCTTCTCCACCACACATGTAACATTCCAAGGCTCGGAACCCCTAAGACTCAGGCTTGTTCTTTTTCCTACTGGGTGTTCCCCAGTGCCAAGCAAAAAGACACAACCCCTGAAACTGAGGGCATTTTATCTATCACAAATGCCTGGACCCTTTTCCTTTGCCTTTAATGATATCCTCTCTTTTCCCCACCCCTCAAGGGGTCTCTGTGTCTCTGTTCTCATCTCACAGAGGAGACCAGGGTCACTATAAACATCAGCCTGTGCTTCCTCTTGTCCCCACAGACCTGCAGAGAGTAGTGAGAGGAATGAATCCTTTATTTACCCTCCATAGTTAACATGAGCTTTCCAGGGGAGGAGGTGGGTAGCAAGGGTCTCTTAGAGCCTACCTAGGGCAGCTGCAGCTGGCTGGGCCAAGGGGGGAGGAGCACAGGGGGAGGGTCTGTGTCTGCTGGGAGGGGAGGGCTGTGGAGAGCGGCCTGGTGTGGGAGAGGGGGGACAGGGTCAGTCTCTACTCTGCAGGGAAGCTAAGAGCCACAAGAGGGTCCCCTGTGCAAACAGGAGGGTGACTAGGGGGAGGATCCTGGGGGCAGCCATGCTGGCACCCGAGAGGGCCAGGGGGATGGCCCTGAAGCCCACAGGGTTCTTGTCGTGGGGCTCCACCTTGCCCCCGGTGGACTCCAAGCAGGGACCCCGGGGAATAGGGACAATGTCGGGGATCCAGCCTGTGGTGTTCCCCACCACCTCCTGCAGGGGAGAGGCCGTAGGTAAGGCTGGACGCGCCCTCACCCAATTCCTTTCCTGAGACCATAACTGGCTATTCCCAGCCCACTAACCATACCTGCAACCCAGGGCGGTAACAGCGTCCTCTGCTTCCTCGGCCCCTCCTCTCTGACCAGTGTTCCCACCACTGCCATTCACCCCTCATCCCTCTTTTGTCCCGCACCCACCACCCCTACTGTGCAGGGCAGTCTCGGGATGCTCACGTCAATCGTCTTTATGATCACCGTTTGCTCGGCCTCCTTGCAGGCTTTCTCTGCCTTCTTAATGTTCTCTGGGGTCCACTCGACATTGTTCATGGCCATCATGGCCTCCATGGAGCTGCCGTGGGTGGTAGGACCCGGAGGGGGGACAGACAGCAGTTCAGGGTTGTGCACAAACCATGCTCGCTTTTGTTAGCGTCAGTTCTGCGTCGGCATAAACCATGAGGCATGTCTTACAACTCAGTGAGACAATCATAGTGAGTCTGACTAAAGAGAAACATCGTCAGAGCTCAGAGATGGGACTAGAACAAAATGGAAGAGAGGATATTTTGACTAAATCTGGGACCACTGGAGTCCAAGAAGTTTGGTGGTTAGCTTTGGGAACCTTCAAATGCCCTGAAATTGTGTGAAATGGAATGTGTCTGCACTGATGAGCATTTTTCTTGGGAAGAAGTTTCTGGACTTTGCTAAGAGTCTCAGAAAGGATCTCTTAGCCCCATGACCAAGAGTCGCTGCTCAGAAGTAGAACACACTCCGATGGAGTCGAGTGCTTGAGAAAGAGGCAGACAAAGAGTTTATTGGCAGGTGATCTTGCTTCTCAGGCTAGTTCTTATCTGCCCCTCTGAGTGGCCTTGCTAATGTGGAGAAAACCCACAAAGTTCCCGCCTTGTGTCAGCTGTGACATTCAGACCGTGGCAAGGTGGGATGACGAGGAAGGGGGCATCAGGCAGTCCTTGGAGGAGCCCAGCATCAGGGACAGTGGGGATTCTCCTTTTCCTCCTCCCCCATCCTCCCCAGCCCTCTCCCCACGCACCTGAGGGCCTATGCCCCAGGCTGACTCACTCAGACACCTCCTCCTCCAGCTCACGGGCCACAGAGACGATGTCGGGATACCCCATGCAGCTGGAGATGTTGTTCCGGGGGTAGTAGAAAAGGAAGATGAGGCACATTTCATTGACCGTGCTGGGCCCCGCCTAGGGGAGGAGAGACCGATGGAGAGACAAGGACACACAGGTGTGCAGGGGCAGGCAGAAACCAGGTGAGGTGGGTCTTCTGCCAACCAGGCTGTTCCCCTTTTCCCTTAATCTAGGCTCAGCTCAGTGCTGTTCCTTACTGCTGCTACCACACCTGCGTCTCCAGGGAAGCATCCCACAGACCTGCCCTGTCCTCTGGATGTCCACAGCCACAACTCTGGCTCCAGACGGAATGGCAGCCTCCCAACTAGTCTCCTAAGCTGCTAGACTGGTTTGCTTAGGATGCATCTTGGGTCCTGTCATCTGCCTATCCACAAACCCCCAGTGGCTCCCAATAGCCCACTGAACAATAGTCCTTGGCATACATATGCATATATGCACATGCATCCCTGGGTGATCCAAACAGTCAATGAGCTCGGCTGCTAACTGAAAGGTTAGTGGTTCAAATCTACCCAGAGGCACCTTGGAAAAAAGGCCTGACGATCTGCAAAATCAGCCATTAAATACCCTGTAGAGCACAGTTCTACTCTGACACACAAGAGGTTGCCGTGACTTGGAGCTGATTTGAGGGCAACTCGTTTCTTTATATCATCTGCCTGCCTGCCTGCCTGCCTATCTGACTGTGTGGTGGTTAAGAGCTTGGCTGCTAACCAAAAGGTTGGCAGTTCAGATCCACCAGCTGCTCCTTGGAAACCCTATGGGGCAGTTCCACTCTGCCCCATAGGGTCACTATGAGTCAGAATCGACTGGACAGCAACGAGTAACGAGATCTATCTTTCTATCTATCTGTCTAAATTCCCACCCATTCATTCATTCACTTGGAAAATATTTTAGAGCAACAGACCCTGTTGTCCTGGAGATAGAGATGATACAGTATCACCTCTGCATCCAGGGCTCCTTCCAACTCCATTTCCCTCCTTCACTCCTTCAGATATCATTTCCCATTCCTTAACTTCCCAGTCAAGTCATCGCTCTCCCTGCACACCTCTACTTTCCTCGTACATGGTTTTCTCAACCTTCTCTTCCTTTGGCATCCCCTTCTTTATGTGTCTGAAGTAAGACCCACTCAAATGTGTCACAAATTCAGTTCACTTTAGTAGGACCTTAGAATTTTTCCTGTGAATTCCCCACATGCATTATCCTCATTCTTCCGTTATGATATATATATCACTTTCTACCTTTTGATAATAATCTGTATGGCAGTCTTATCTTCCTCTACAGCCTGCAACTCCTTTTGAGTCCCAGCAACCATTTCTGATGCACAGAATGGGTGGGGTTCCCTGTGACCATGGTAACAGCAGCCAACCCTCTTGGGGGCCTGCCACAAGTTAGACATGAATCTAGGGGTTTTGTATGTACAATTAGTAATTATTTTATGAATGAGGAAACTGAAGACAAAGAGGTAGAGGAACTGTCTAAAGTTACAAAGCTACTGAGTGATTGGGTGCACATTCACACCCAGGCAGTGAGGTCCAGGGTCCATGCTCTCAGTCTCCAGAACACACTGTCTCCCAGGGTCCAATGGCCATTGACTGAAGGTAGGGAGTCCCTGCACCCACCTCCGATGTGTGGGGGTGGGAGAGCATGAGGAGCCCCATGTTAAAGGGTAACACCATCTGAGGGAGGAAGAGGCTTCAGCTGGGTCAATCAGTGTCACTTGGAGCCACGGCAGAAGTGGGGGCTCTACTGGGGGACATTGTCATGGTGACCATGATTGGGAGGCAGGCACTTACAAAAGTCAAGAAGTCTCGGTCCAGCGTCTGGTAGTGACACTCCACCAGCAGCTCGTCTCCCTGTTGGGGTGTAGCAGGTATGCTGGGAGTAAGACAGAGGGACTTGGCTGATTAGGAGATCCAACTCTGCCTCTCCCCTCCAGCTCCGCCTCTCCCCACCTCCAGCCACTCTCCCCCACCATCAGCCCTGCCCCACCTCCAGCCCTACCCTCCACCTCCAGCCCTATCCCCCACCTCCAGCCCTACCCCCCACCTCCAGCTACTCTCCCCACCTCCAGCCACTCTCCCCACCTCCAGCCACTCTCCCCACCTCCAGCCCAGCCTTCCCCAGCTCCAGCCAGGCCTCCCCTGGCCTTAGTCACGCCTCCCCTAGCTTTAGCGGCACCACCCCCAACTCCAGCCACACCTCCCCAGCTCCAGTCACGCCTCCCCCAACTCCCGTCCTGCTTCCCCTTCGCACAGGCTTGATCTCCACGCGAGCAGGTAAATCCCGAGTCTCCTGCAGGTTGAAGTCATAGGAGTCATCTTTACAGATGGTTCGGAGCTGGGAACCATTTCTACAGGGAACGAAGGGGAGGAGAGAGGAAACTGCTAATAAAGATGGCGTGGGTGGGTCATTCTAGGGGTGCATCTTGTGGGTGAAATACAGACGCTCCTCCTTCCTAGCCTTGGCTAGGGATAGAGCTAGCTCCCCCTACTCCCTACAGAGCGTAGCCTTATGCTGCAGAACAAATACCTATTCCTCACATGCATCCCCACACACAGAAGGAAACTCCCAGTCAAGCTGGCCCCTTACCTGTACTGCACGGCCTGCAGAGCCCGGCCTGTCAGGTGGGTGTGGAGCAAGTAGCCATACACTTGTATGTCGGGCAACGGGGCCCCGTTCATCTGAGACAGGGAGGCAGGAAACCTGGTTTGGTCTCACCCTGCCTCTGGATTTTCCTCCCTGGGTATTGGACGCCTTGCTCTGAGGGCTCTGACCCTCAGCCCCGGATTCTTTCGGCCCCTCCAGCCCACCAGCCTTGACCCCCCGTCCTCGAAGCCCCAAGCACCAGGCTGTGGTCATTCTCTGGGCCTGAGGCTCCGGCATGTGGGTCAGACCAGCTCTGTGCTGCATCGAGGGGCCTCCCCGCTCACCTCCTCGAACTTCTCCGTCTTGCACAGCCCGTAAGATATGAAGGACTGGGCGCCTGGGGGTATGAAGTGAATGGGGAAGGTGAAGATGCCCAGCTGCAGGACGCCCATGTCGTGTCTGCGCAGCCGCGGGGTGTAGTACATGCGGATCCCAGAGGAGTCGTAGATGCCTGGCGCAGAAAGGAGCCGTGGGAGGAGGCAGGGGCCACAAGAGGCCCAGGGCAGCTGGGTGGGGCGTCCCTGCACGCACCCCACACCATCTTCCCAGACACACAGGGATCAGCCAGCCCACCAGCACCCTGCCCCGAACAAGCCCCCTCACCAGGGAGGTTGTAGAAATTGCTGTAATGAATCTCCAGCCGGATCCACTGGGGGTCCATGGAGGTCCCGATAGATATGCCTACATCATCCGGGAACTGGTAGCTCTGTTGGAAGGAGGAGCTGGGCAGCAGGAGGGCTGGGAGCTGGGGGCGGGGGGCAGGGCGCCAGCGCCTTGCCTCCACCCGTCCAGCCATTCCGGTGTCCCTCAGCAGGCACCCCCAGCAGTGCATCCCCACCCCTGACTCACAGTGCCGCCCAAGGCCCAGCCTAGGACAACCTGCGAGCAGAGCGAGAAGGCCGGGTCAGCACCATAGCAGTCGCTGATGCCGGTGGGGAGGGCGCTGGCATTGCCGCAGGCATACACCAGGATGTGGTGCACCATGGTCTCATTGTGGTGGGCCAGCTTGGGCTCGAACTGGGCAAGGAAGGGCCGGCACTAGTCAGGACCTTCTGTGCCCCCTCCTGCACTCCTCTCTTCCCCAGATACCACCCCGCCTGGCCCCGCCTCACTTTTCTTCTCTTCCATTTCCTGTTTCCTTCCCCCCACCCCTATAGTTTCCCCCCACTCCCTTTGACTCCTCTCCCAACCCCATGCCTGCCTCTAGCCCGTTCCTGAGGTACAGCCAACTTGGTTAGCAGGGATGTGCCGGGCTGCCTAACTTTCCTTAATAAACACATCTGGTTTCATTACCTCTGGGCATGAAATCAAGATTTTTGGACTCTCTTTCTAAAGAAAATGGCTCCCACACACGTGCTACTTCTTCTAAAATAATCTACCACCAGAGGCCCTTGGAAGAAAGGTCTGGCAATCTACTGCTGCTGCTGCTGGTGGGGAATCAGCCACTGAAAACCCTTTGAAGCACAGTTCTACTCTGACACACAAGGGGTTGCCGCTGTAAGGTAGTACTCCTGTTTAGTTGGTCAAAATTGACATGTGAGCTTAGGTGACCACATCTGAGTCCTTCTAGCCAGACTTTGTGGCCGTAAGGCCCTTGGCTGTGTCCCCTCCCTGCCTTCACCTCCTCCTGAGCCAAAAGAGTGCCATTCTCAGGCAGGGCAGGGTTCATGTCTTGTTCTTTGCAAATATTTGTTAATGAGTTGCTTTCTTCCAAATATGCTGCACTGTTGGGTGTGGAGGACAGTGCTGTTGTTGTGACTCGTGTCGACCCTGTAGGGCAGAGTAGAACTGCCCCACAGAGTTTCCTAGGCTATGATCTTTAAGGGAACAGATTACCAGGTCTTTATCCTGCAGACTCCTGGTGGGTTCACACCACCGACCTTTCGGTTAGCAACTGAGTGCTTAACCGTTGCATGACTGTGACTCCTTTCCATAGTTCTCGGAGCTATAACTCTGTTCTCCCCAAATCATACCACTATGGACTCCACCAAACCCGCCTGGCCCCGTTCTCTGCCTAGCTGCTCCCCCATTGCTCCCACCCAGCGGCGTTCTGAGCACTGTCCCTCAGAGTGGACTCCGCCTGGTCTCCTCCCCGCCTGTTCTGCTTAGCCACGGCCCACCATCCGGCCCTGGCACCTTGTAGATGTGGTGCTTCTCACTCACGATGGGCAGAGGGAGGAAGGTGCAGGCGTAGGTGGTGTCATCTTCTGGAATGAGGAACTGAGGGGGGGTACCGAGGCTGAGCCATGGGGGTGAGGCTTCCCGAGAAGCAGGGAAGGGACCTCCAAGGAGGGGGTTCATTTTAGGCTGCTTTGGCAGTTTTTGGGGGCTGAGCAAGATCAGAGTAACCTCAATCCAAGGAACATAGGGAAGTACAGCATGTGGGCGCAAGAGGAAGGGCCAGCCTTGAGTGGGAAGATGGGAAGGGAGCTGGGGGTGGCTGGGTGGGGTAGAGGGTCATACGTCAGTGATCTCCAGGTCATGGATAATGGTGTCCTCGGGGACATCAAGATCATCGGGGTGGATAATCTGTAGCAGGAAGATGGACTTGACAAAGATGTGCTCCCGGTCCAACTTCAAGGTATCATCCTGGCCATAGGCAGCTAGCACACGCACTGTGTCACTCTGGGGGGTTGGGGCAGTAAGGGCTGTACCCATGAATGGCACTTTGCACACCCCACCCATAGACCTCACAGGCCTTCTGCTCACATCTACACCGTGGGGTAGAAAGAGCTTAGATTGGGTGTCAGGACACCCGGGTTCTAGCCTCCAAGGCTAACCTGCTGGTGATGTTGAGAAGGCACAGCCCCTCTCCCACACCCTCTCTACGCCTGTGTCCACATCTGGGAAATGAAATGGTGGAGCTAAACTCTTACGTCCTAACATTCTAAGTTCAGTGGAATCAGATGAGGCTCTTCAAGTTCTATACTCCCTGCCAGAGGGGGTGCTGGGAAGGGTAGGGTGGATGCTGAGTCAGTGGTGACCACCCTGCAGAGGACTCCTGGATTCCTGGAGATGGAGTGATTGGGCAGTGCCCAGGAAGGCTGAGAGGGATAGAAGTCCTAGGAACGGGGTCTGGCTGCCCGAGATACATGGATGTTTCCAGATTCGAGGTGACTTCACCTCCCCAAAAGAAAGCCGCTGGTGCTTACATGTCCTTCTCTCTCCCCATTTTACCGTGATATCCTGGTCATGATGGTCACAGGAACGGAAGGGCCGGGAGAAACGCATGGTGGTGTAGACAGCATCTTCTGTGAGCCCCTGCAGCTCGGCATCCTGGCTCCCGTCCGCCGTCAGGGTGTCTTCATCCACCAGGTGCTGATCCTGGGGTCCAGGAAGACCAGAGTAAGAACCAGGAGCCCTGATGGTCGAGCTTTGTGGCAGTAGGTGTCCCACCAGTTCCCCCAGGTGCTAACGTAGCAGAACTCAGGTCTTCCTTATTGTGTAGTGTCCTCCCAGGACAGAGAGTAAATCAAAGGGCAGGTTCTCAGATAGACCGTGTTCGATGGAGTTTCACCACCCAACCTTGCTTTACTCTTCCCAATTCAAATCTCCTTTCCATAAATCAGAACCTACCTGTAGGTGCCCTGATGCTTGAAAGCTCACCTGTCCTCTGAACAGTCTGGGCCATTCACTTTCTCTTAATGTGTATCACCTTGTACTGTTAATTGATGTTTCCCTACATAATTGAGGACTAGGAGAGTGATTGAGAGTTCAGGATGGGTGGTTTTGGCGATGGGTGAGGTCCTTCCTCATCTGTAAAGTGGGGATAATAACAATCCGCCTCATAATGATGCTGTGGGGTTTGACATGCAATTAATTTGGAACACTGCCTGGTTAATCAGACCAAAACCAAACCCATTGCCATCGAGTCAATTCCGACTCATAGTAACCCTATAGCAGAGAGTAGAACTGCCCCATAGAGTTTCCGAGGAGTGGATTTCAACTGCCGACATTTTAGTTAGCAGCTGAGCTCTTAGCCACCAAGGCTCGTGTTAATCAGAAGTACCTAACAATTTTAAGCTGTTCTTTTTGTTTGTTAGACTACTTCATATTGTCCAGAGACATGACTGAGCTTAAAGGAAATTGAGGACAGGGACCGTGTCTCAGACAGCTTTGAGTCTTCCCTAGTGACCTGCATGAAGCGGGCTATTCACAAGTATTGGGTGCAAGACTCTCTCAGTCCGACGGCTCCATTCTCTTAGCAGCCTTGGGACACGTAGCCTGAAAGACCAGGGTTGAAGCTGTACAAAGGGCTGCTGCTGTCAGAAGAGATCAGCAGTGAGCAGGGGTTCTGGGAGCGTGTCTGGATACATTTGGGGAATACGAAACCTTTCTCATGGTGGACAAGGTGCTGTCCTCTGCCCAGCAGAGGAACCTCACCCTGGGGAGGGAGTCACCCTCAGACTCACCGAGAAATAGACGTTGCCATCAGGCAAGACCCCGCCAACCACCAGATCGCCTCCCACGTTGGTGTAGCGATTCGTGACACCCAGGCCCACCCAGCCAGCCGTCTGGACCTGCAGCTCAAACATGATGACCTCGGCCTCCAGGTCAAAGTCCCAGCGCAGGAACATGACATTGGCTGGATCTAGGAACCTGGAATAGCGCAGGCGAGACTTGGGGCCCAAGTGGTGGCCTTGGGAGGGGGCGGCCAGGGCCAGGAGCAGCAGCAGCCGGGAGAGGAGGGCACAGGTCATGGCTCCCGGGGCCTGGAGCAACTCTCTCTCATGCAGACAGACCTGGAGGCCCCGGACTTATATGTGCCTCCACTGTGCCAGGCAGCAGCCCTTGGGGAGGGCAGGCTGGGGCTTCTGAGCCGATTATCTTCTGGGGTCAGGTGATGCCACTTACATAACTCTGGAGGTGAGAGGTGGTGTCCAGAGGACACAGGGCAGGTTACGCTGGTCCTGGGTCAGGGGCCTCGTTCTCCGGACTAAACCGTTGAGACTCTTCCTCCCCAACCCATGCCAGCATCCTGCCAGTGGGGACCCTGCAGAATCGAGGGGGCTGCACTTCTTTCCTCCCCCATTTTTCTCTCTCTCTCTCCCCCCCACCTCCCCTGCCATCCCTGTATCCCTGGATGTCCTTGCTGGGCACCCTGTCTCTGAGGCTTGTCCACCTGCCACAGTTCTCCTGGGCACTTCCATTCTGTCCTTGTAGGAACTGAGGCTGTAGCAGGGGTATGGGTCCATAGGTAAACTCAGCCTTACAGCCACCAGGACAGGGTAAGAAGGAGTGAAGCTGCTGGAAGGGGATGGGGAAAGGCGTGATTTCCATCTCCTGGAGGAGTCATTGTTACTAATCCCTGGAAGGACACTCTGAGGTGCCTGTCGCATAATCAGCTTTCCCATGGCCACATCTGGGGCAGCTTTGAGTGTGTGCACATCCCTGGGGAGGGCGGGGAAGAGGAGGGGGCCAAGGGAAGAAATGGGGGTGGGGAATGGCATGAAGTCACCTCTGGGGTGCTTTGTGCCTGACCGGTCCTCCCCTGAGTTAGTGACCCTGCACTGGAGGCCGACCCAGTTTCCAGACTTGCCAGCACATGGCCCTGTGGAAAGTAAAACCACAGGAGGAGCATGAGCACAGCAGAGTAGGAAGGGACTTTAAATCTGCTTTAGCATCCAGAATTTCCAATCAACTTAATTTTTGAAAGAGGCAACAGAAGAACCAAGGGGTGACATGAACAGGGCCAGGTCACCCAGTGGTCAGGGGGAGAGTCCCATCAAGACCCAGAGTCAGGGACAGAGTCCCATCAAAGACCCAGGGATCAGGGGCAGAGCCACAGCAAGGACTCAGGGATCAGGGGCAGAGCCACAGGAAGGACTCAGGAGTCAGGGCAGAGCCACAGGAAGGACTCAGGGTTCAGGGCAGAGCCACAGGAAGGACTCAGAGTTCAGGGGCAGAGCCACAGCAAGGACTCAGGGTTCA